CTAATGCTACTGGCACAATTTCATGAAGTATGCATATTCAGAGTTAAATTCACCCATGTGATCTTGTGTGAAGAATATTTTGTTCTTGGAGAACCCTTTGTGGAACTTTGTTTTGACTTGCCTTTGTCACCGTCTGCATTCCACCCTCTGTTTTGCTCTCCAGTTATAAGCAGATTCTGACATACCCTCTGTCTTGGGTTCATTGACAATAACTGAGAAATCTCAAATGGTATCAATTTACCTAGAAATACTGGATCTCTAGAATGGCACTGGTGAAGAAAATGCAGAGCTGAAAGTACTTCACTAAATTTTGCTTGTAAAGATCACTTCTGCATGTTGGCAGAAAAAGGGTAGATTCATTTTCTTGTGATAGACTACAAAATAACTATTAAAGCAACTTGAGCTGAGGAGGTGAGAGCCTAGGTATGTGTCCTGCAGTCCTATCACCAGTGCTGTAACCGGTTTTGTCATCGTTAGGTAGGCAGGAGTACAGGTACAAGATGTGTGCAGTGTTCCCATGGCCCTGTCAGGCAAAGGTATGTACACAGGAGTCGGCTACTACTTGGACTATCTTTGCAGAAAGCTTGTACAGTGAAGTTATTTGCTGACGAGACTCAAATGTTTGCCTGTGCTGCTGGGAAGGAAAGCAGGCCTTGTCTGTGCGTGTGCTGTTTGGTGGCAGCAGGTACCTGACTACTCAGCACATGTGCTGGCTGGAAGCCTGAGCAGGAAGAGCACCAAACCCCTACTGCTGCCGTTGCCCACCAAAATGATGCTGAGCATGAAACAGAGTGGAGATGTGTGTGTTGTGGATGTTTGCAACGGAGAAGGGGAAGGTAAGAGGACATTTTCCACAAACCTGTAAGAAACAAGGCTCTGTGAGTTGTGGTTTGTTGTACAATGTTAGATTTCGATGTAGGTGTTAAAGAATGTCTAGAATAAAGTTATGTAGGGATTTGGACAGACTTTGGACTTTTTTCTGTGGATTCTGGAGGCCTACATTTTAAGGTTGAAAAACTCTAAATTGGGTTGACTTTCTCAGTTTCTCTAAAGAAACCCTAAGTTCTTCCAAAGGCTGTAGTGCCTCTGGTTATTACTTCTGAAGCACTGGGTTGAGCTAAGTTCTTGTACTTTGATTCTTTTCTTCAGAAATATGTGATCAGTAGTGTATATAATGTTTTCTTAAACAGTTTTAAGTATAGAACAAAAGTAGAAGGCAAAAAGTATTTTTAAAGTAACTAGTAGCCTGCAAGCCTATTTGTTGTTCCTAAGCATCATATCTAGATAGATACAACTTCATCTACCAAGTGTGTCCAGAGAAGGGCAACGAAGCTGGTGAAGGGTCTGGAGCACAAGTCCAGTGAGGAGCGGCTGAGGGAGCTGGGGGTGCTCAGCCTGGAGAAGAGGAGGCTGAGGGGAGACCTTATCGCTATCTACAACTGCCTGAAAGGAGGCTGGAGCCAGGTGGGGGTCGGTCTCTTCTCCCAAGTAACAAGCGATAGGACAGGAGGCAATGGCCTCAGGTTGTGCCAGGGCAGGTTTAGGTTGGATACTAGGAAAAATTTCTTCACCAAAAGTGTTGTCAGGCCCTGGCACAGGCTGCCCAGGGACGTGGTTGAGTCCCCATCCCTGGAGGTATTTAAAAGTTGGGTAGATGTGGTGCTTAGAGATGTGGTTTGGTGGTGGACTTGGCAGTGCTGGGTTAACAGTTGCACTTCTTAGTGCAATTTAAGTGCAATTTTAGTGCAATTTAAGTCTTGTTTTTTTAAGTCTTGCTTTTATTTTTCATTTGTGCTTCATAATGGATAAATTATGAGGTCTAAAAGAGTTTCTTAAATTATTTTTGTGTGTTTTCATTATACACAAAGGAAACTATTTAAGTTCTTCTTCCCCCTCCCTTGCTAGTCTTATTAGAGATTCTACATTTTTCTTGGAAGTAATTTGTTATGGAAATGAACACCAAGAAAGCTGGTCAAGACATTCCAGGCGTTTCTGTTAATATTAATTTCAGAATGTTAATTTTAAGTTAATTTCAAAACCTGTTAATGAAATAGCTATAAATGGCTCACTAAAATTCCTTCTACTTAGCAGAGAAAGTAAAGGTTTACAGGTTACTAAGGTGTTGCCTTTAATAAATCTTATACCATAAACTTCTAATCTAGATGGACTATAAAATTTTAACTTACAGAGAATATAAACAAACAGGAGAAACTTAAACCAAACTAACAAAACTCTCAGCATGTCATCGTCAGTGACTATGAGCTGCTGCCTCCTCCTTCTCCTGTGCTTGGTATTCATCTTGATTAATACAGATCAGTGCAGGGGATTCGGTAGGGAACCATTAACATCCACATAGAGCCAATTAGAATGTTTTATGAATAGAAGGTATACATTAAACGACATAAATTTGACTTGGGTTATAGAACAAATGAAAAATTAAGAGCTTTGTTTGCCACAGTGCATATAATGTAGCCATTTTATACCTTATAAAGTTGTTACCTAGTATTTCTATTTGATTTGATAACATTTTATATTGATCACTGGTCTGCACAACTATGTTACTGCTAAGTGCAAGCATTTAGAATTCTTAAGGGGGGGAATCTCCAGATTCGTTAACAAACTTCTGCCTCTTACTTGAATGATAAAAACTGTATTTTGAATTTCTTTAAGTTTTTAGAGTTTGCTTCGTCATGTTTTTAAGACAACATCTAGAAAATGTTTCTGGTCTTCAGAATTGTAAATGAATTTTGGGGAGTGTTTTGTGAGTTTTGGTTTTGTTTTATTTTTGCAATGAAATGAAGAGGTTTACCATCCTGTTACCCAAAGTACAAGGCAGATGATCACTAGGAAAGTCTTGTGTCAGCAGTGACTCCAGTGAACTTGATTATAGGACAATGCTATTTGATAACATCAAAACATACCTCCGTCTTCATACATTTTTCTGATTCAACAGATCAATTGAAAGTGTTTCTATCTTTGTTATGTCCTTGCTTACTGCAGCCACTAGGATGCTTAAGGCTGAATTTTTTTATTGAAAAAATATCTGTAGCATTTCTTTGTGTGCCTGCAATCACTTATTTTTTGATTTAGTTTCCTGTAGCTGGGGTGGGTTTCACCTAGAGCAAAAATGAAAAGCATTATGCTTTCTTTCTCTAAACCAAATGCCTTGAGGATTTCATTTCCTGAACC